AAGATTCTAACAAAATTCTAACATCCACAGGTTGTTATGTAACCACAGGATCATCAAGGGATCTTAGAAATCATCAAGTCCTACCTTCCTCACTTTATAGATGAGAAAAATGAGGCCTGAGGAGGTTATATGGTTTGATGGGTGCTAAGTATCTGAGGGGGAATTTGAATCCAGATCTACTTAACTGTTAGGATGTCAGGGAACTCTCTAGCACTGTAGTTTCAGAGCAGGTAAGGTCCTGGATGAGTTGAGGGAGTATATTTAGTGAGAGCTCCCTCCACAGATGAAATCACAAGTCTAAACCCCACTCCACAGAACAAATTTGTAGGACATTGAGCCCATGCTCTCTCCCAGGCCAAAAGTAACTTCTGAGATATCCCAGGAATGAATTACCCAATCTCTACTTCAAAAACACCAATGACAAGAAGCTCATTGTTTCCCAATGCTGTCCATTCTATTTTTGGAGACAGATTTTCTTATTAGAAAGCTCTTCTATTGAGCCCAAACAGTTACCCTATAACTATCTCCTACCCCATTCTACTCTCTGGGCCTGCCTCCCCCACTGCCCAAAAACGGTGGTACAAGTCTAATACCAAAGGAAGAAACCAAGGAGTTCCAGATTGATTATAGGTAGTAGTTCAATCAATTGGGTTACTTAACATTGGGAGCAGTATAGTGGATCCCTACCAAGAGTTAACAATCTTCAGTTTGGGGCAGTGGCCAGACCACAGGTTGGATCCTTGCAAAAATCCCAGGAAAGCCCAGTCCTAATTACAGAAATCAAACAAAGGGAGCCATAGAGTACATCACTACTGATTGGTGGATATTTGGATTTCTGCTTAGTGATGAGCTCATTGCCAAGCTTGGGTATTAAACCAACCTTAGCAACAGAAGTTCCACAAAGCCATTGGTGAACCAGAAAAACTTTTATTAACGGCCTAGCAAGAGTGTCCCACGTGTGAGCACACCTTACAGATGGGATAGGGAAACTTTTTATTCTTAGGCCCAAATCCCAGTTCCCTCCCCTGTTTCCCCATTGGCTGGGTCATTCAGGGTTTACAGCCTATCCAGAGTGCCTAATTTCCCCACATGAGTCTCTGCCCCTAATTACAGCTCCCATTCTCCTTATCAACAGCCTACAGCTACAGGAGTTACTCATCACCCTGATGAGAGACTTGCAGAAGCAACACTCCCAACCACATTTCCTACACCAATGTTGATGGTTGCATATCCAAATGCAGAATTGTGTACTGGTCATATAGTGGACATGAACTGTGTCCGAGTTATAACTTTCATCAGTCACAATATCTAAGTATCTAAATTATGATTCAGTATCTAAATCATGATTTTCGACAGGTCACCATGTCCTGGCTTCCACCTTTCACAGAGTTTAAGTGAATGGCTTTTCACTTCTTACTGTGTATTATGGCTTTTCCCCAACAGGGAGCCCACACCTTGCTCTGCACTTACACAGTCACCACCCTCATTTAAACCCTTATCCCCTTTCAGCCTTGACCACTGCAATATTTGATCCTCCTCTTGGTCTCCAGTCTCTCATCTCTCCAGTCCTTCCCCCATTCAGCTGCTGAAATGATTTCCCTAAAGCACAGGTCTAACCATGTCCAGTGGTTTTCTGTTATCTCTAGGGTCAAATACAAGATTCCTTTGCCCACCCTCCATAGCTCTTCACAGGTTGGCCCCTCCTTGTTTCTCCACTCTCCACATCACTCCCCTCCACATGCTCTACAAGCCAGCCATATTGGACTCTTGGACTCTTTTCACACCACACATCTCATCTCGTTTCTATTCCTTTGCACTGGCTGTTCACTGTGCCTACAATGCTCTCCCTCACTACTATCTCTTGGAATCCCTGCTTTCCTTCAAGACTCAGTCAACTTCTGCTGAAGTCTGTCCTGATGTCCCCAGCAATTAGTGCCTTCCCGTGCAAGGTTACATGGTCTCTGATTTTTGTATCCTTTATATAACTCTATATGTATACATTGTGTCCCCCATTTGAACATAAGTTCTTTGAGAGCACAGACGAGCGTGTGTTGTATCTTAAAATAGTTCCTAACATAAGACATGAACTTCAGGAATACTTCTTGATTGATTGAACAACCTTGTGAGACAGTTATTTTCTCCATTTTACAAAAGAGGAAACAGAGCCTTAGGAGAAAGAAAAGTGACCTACCTGAGACCACACAGCTAGTCAGTTTCAGAGCCAAACTTCAACCCTAGGTCTCTAATTCTAGTTCCGGTCTGTTTTCAGCTACCCCAACCTGTATTCCAAGTTATCCACACTCAAGAAAAAGATATCAGAAAAAATACTTGTTAAATAATAAGTATACTTTGTATTCATTCAATGCTTTATACTTTCTCAAGCTCTTTTGGATCTACCACCTAATTAGTGCCTCTTCCCAGCCCCTTTGAAATAAATAGAACAAAGGTTGCTATGTCCATTTTGCAAATGGGCAAGCTCAAGTCCAGAACAGACCAGTAACTGATCCCAGCTCATACAGCTGAGGACAGACCCATGACTGAAGCCTGGGTCTTCTTCCACCAAATGCTCTGCTTTTAAAGTATTTCAATCCTATTTCTGGTGGATAGGGAGTAACAAGGGTTTTGGATTACTCCTAGTCTGTCCAGGAATTGGGGTTATTTTTCTCCCAGATGAGTTACCTTTTCTGGGACTCCTTTTCAAACCTCTGAGAAACACAATAAGCCAGATGGAAAGGTGATTCTCTTACAAAGGAAAACAACTGTCCACAGAGCTCAGGCAATAATTAAGATTTCTAGAGACCTTAGATTGCTTTCATATGGATTCTCCCTCCTCCAGAGCAAATTTGCTGCCCCATCTTTCCCCACACCAACCAACTGACACCTTACTAGACTCTTTCATGAGTTAAGATGGCCAAAATATGTATTTTCTAAGAACCATCCTTCTGGGGATAAGCATTCCCACAACTAGTTAGGCTGATTGATCAGACCACAAACACTCCTTCTGTGATTACAGCATTAGTAGCTTGAAATGACCTCCCAAAGTTTGTGCTCTCCTAACATAGCCCTCAAGAACTTCAAATGTTATTTCATGCCTTGATGAGTCAATAGAAGAAGGTTTTAGTGAAGACAGCCAAGAACAACAATTCGGATTTAGATAAAAGGACTGGGGTTCAAATCTTCCATTTACTAACTATGTAATCTTGGTTCTCAGTTTCCTTATCTGCAAAATCAGTGGGTTAGACTCTCTGAGGTCCTTTCCAGCTCTATGCCTATGATCCTATGAAGGAATATTTTTATTTGCAAAGTGTTGCATTTACAACAGCCCTGCAAGGCAGGTAGTATAAGTATCATTATTACTACTTTACAAACCAGGAAACTGAGTATTGGAGAGAAAATTAGGCAAAGGGAGATGCAACTAATGTGATATATTGCCTGCACTTTCCGATGAGGTCATTGTATCGATAAAACTGAAAGTGACCCCCAAAAAGGGGCAGTGAAAGGTGATGTCACTTCACGTTTTTGTCTAGGATAGAATTGCTCCAGTCACTCCCTAAGAGTGTAACCAGTAGCTTAATTATGAATATTTATGATTAGAGAAAGGAAGCAAACTAATTATATAGATCAAATTAATGGTTTTTTTAAAAAAAAAAAGTCTAGGAACACTCTCAGGTTGTAAATCTAGCTGCCTCAAAGTATGGTAGTGCCCTAGATAGAAATAGGGACAGTAGGAGGGAGGGTACATTTGGGGAAGAACATGATGAATTTTTCATTTTGGAAGTGTTAAGACTGAGGATGGCTATGGGACTTCCAGGATTAGGTGTCTAATGACAGTCCATGATATAGAATTAGAGCTCAGAAAAGACATGAGGGTTGGCTATGTAGTTTTCTGAGCCATCTGCAAAGAGATGACATTGAACCTATGGGAGCTGATCAAGTCACTAAGAGAGAGAATGTTGAGAGAGAAGAGAGCCCAAGACAAAGCCCTGGAGTATGCTCACTCAAAGGGTTCAGGATGTGTATAATGAGGCAACAAAGCAGATTTGTTGGAGCTGTGTCACACAAGAAGGAGGAAAACTAGGAGAGAGCAATGCCATGGAATCCCAGAGAGGAGAGAATGCTTGGGATATTGGAATGGTCAACAACATTGAAAGTGTCATAAAGAGATCAAGGATCAAAGATAAGAAATGAGAAAAGGACATTGAACTTAGTAGTCAGGAGATTATTAGTAACCTTTAAGAGAGTGGTGATTATCCAAAGACACCAAGCATGCTCTCATTTTTATGACTGTTCAATCTCCTTTGCTTGAAATACCCTGCCTTCCTATGTCCAAAACGACATTTCTCCAAGAAGTCTAGGCCTTTCCCACAGTACTTATCAGATTTTGCATTGCCTTGTATTTATTTGTATTTCTATCTTTTCTCATGGGAAGATCTCTTGTCTTATTTATCTTTGTACCCGACTCCAGCTTCCCCAACAGAATCTCAATAAACTTGATTAACTTAAAAAAAGAATAATATAGACCATAGGTTGTAGAACATAGACTGTTAGAGCTGAAAGTGACCTTTGATCATGAAACATGAAGTGAAAGAACTAGAAGGGAACCCTTAGATTATCTAGTTTAACTGAAAGCAAAGTGAAATGCAGTGACAGAAAGAGACTGGTCCAAGGTCACACAGTGATTGACTAGCACAGAAAGGACTAAGCCCCAGGTGTCCTGATTCCCAGAGCCAAGGACTTGTAAGTGAAATAATGGGTAGAAAAATACCTGTATCTTTGTTCAGTTGACTGGACTTTTGTCTAATTCTACCACATTTCAGGGGACTGGAGTTTATGGGAAGACCAGTGTGATAATCCATCATGCTGCAGAGACACAAAGGGGTGGGTGGAGAGGCTGTGGCTGTAATCTGGACTCCTCTGGCTCCCTTATTCTCCTTCCCCACCCCCAAAGTATCTGTCTTACAGACAAGGCAAACTTAACCTTTTTAAAATTTGTTTCCTAGATACTGCACGAGCTGAAATCCAAGATGTAAGAAGAGCTTCTACTTTATCATTTTAAAACATTTCCTATGCCATGGTGAAAGGACCATTGATTCTCACAATCCATTCAGCATTCAGCACCTAATGACATTCAGCACCAGAATGACACCAGTCTATTACCTAAGATCAAAAGTTACTTCCTCTTTCTGGACCTCAGCTTCCTTCACAATTAAATGAAGAAACGGGACAAAATGATCTATGACAATCTATGTGTTCTATGTTCTTAGATCCCTTCCAACTCTCACATTTTCTGTTCTATGCTCTGACATTCCATGTCTTATGTTCTGGGCTCCCTTCCTGCTCTATCTACTGTGTTCTCTGTTCTGACATTCTGAGGACCCTTCTAGCTCCAACAATTCTATATGTCCCCTCTAGCTCTGACTTTTTGTGTTCTGTGCTTGACATTCCATGTTCTATATTCTCATTTCCAGCTATGATCCACTATGCTCTATGCTCTGACATTTTGTGTTCTATGTCCTAAGCAGGCTTATAACTCTAACATTCTGTGTTCCTTGTTCTGAAGTCCCTCTCAGCTCTGAATGTTCTAAGTTACTTGTTCTAAGATCTCTCCTAGCTCTCCTGTTGTAAGACTCAATGACATTCTCTGTAATGAAGCAAACTTCAGAGATTGTATTCTTTCTCTTATCAATGATCATTTCAGTGTCTTTTATGATTATGAAAACCTGCTTGTTAATAAAAAAAATTAAACAGAAATAGACAGGAGAGATCTCTGAAAGGGATAGGGGCCCTCAGATTATAAGACCCAGAGCATTTCCTGGGGATATTTCTCTGTACTACCTGAAAGTATTGAGCACTAGACTTCTCTCCACTGACCTGTTCTTTGGGCCTCAATTTCCTTTTGTGTAAAATTGGAGGAAATAACCCTTGCTTTCACTCCCTTGGAAAACTTTTATGAGGTTCAAAAGAGAGAATGTGTGCCAAATCACATTGCAAACTGTAAAACACTACAGAAATGGGGACTTTGAGTGGAAACTATCCCATGATCACTGCCCTGATAGCATATAATACCCTTACCTATGGCTAATCATGGGGTAGCTTCCACTTAACCTTGGGGAAACCCCAGGAAACTAAGATTATAATTAACTATCACAGAACAGTAACAGATCTGCATGTACCAATGACATCACAAGTCACTCCCACCCCCAACCCCTAAAAAAGGGTCAGGCACTGTACTTGGCCATGAGGAGACAAAGATGAAAATAAAGACAATACCTGCCCTCAAAAGAGTTTATATTCTACCTTACACAGATAAGTAACTCCAGAATCCAAAGTAAATACATAGTAACTTCAGGAAGAAGAGAGGCACTAATAAGGAGAGGTCAAGAAAGGCCTCATGTGGAAGATCCTATCTGAGTTGAGCCATAAAGGGAGGTAGGGATGCCAAATGGGATGAGAAAAGAGGACATTTCAGGCCCGGGGAGCAGCCTCTGCACAGATACAGAGGTTCTAGGAGATGGAATGTAGAACCTGAGGAACACCAACTAGACCAGTTGGGAGGTGTTGTTCAACAGGAAACATCCCATAGTCAAGGAGCTATATTAACCTAACCATGATGGTCATCTGTGGTCAGAGAAGCTCCACAACAGATTCTTCATGGCAGCCTTGTGTGAGTGGATGTTCTTTCCTAAAGGAATCCACAAGCACAGTAGAGGTATTCAAGCCAAGGCTAGATGAATTTTTGTCAGACACACTGGAGAGGGGAATCCCTGTTAAGCACTGGTGCCAGCTAAAATCCCATCTTCTACAGGAAACCTCTCCCAATCCCCCTTAATTCTAGTACCTTCTCCCTGTTGATGATTTCTAATTTATCCTATATGTAGTCTATATAATTTGTTGTTGTTGAGTCATTTTCAGTAATGTCGACTCTTTGTGACCCCTTTTTGGGGTTTTCTTGGCAAAGATATTGGAGTGATTTGCTATTTCCTTCTCCAGCTCATTTTATAGATGAAGAAACTGAGGCAGATTTAAGTCACTTGCCCAAGGTTACACAGCTAGTAAGTATCAGAGGCTGGATTTGAATTCAAGTCTTTCTGACTCCACATCTGCCACTCTATGCAGTATGCCACCTAGCTGTATTTAATTGTTTGTTGACAAGAACTTGATGACAGGAACTGTCTTTTACTTTTCTTTGTGTCTTCAGTGCTGAGTATAGTGCCTGGAACATAATACGTGATTAATAAATGTTTATTGACTGATAGGCTGAATGGTTGGTATAGACCCCTCCCAGCTCTGAAGCTCTGTGTATTTGGGTGTCTGTGATATAGTAGGAGAATCAATCTGTTTTGTTAATCTTCTAGCCTGTCTGCAATGACTTCCCAGGATGCTACAAAATATATCTTCCTGTCTGTGGCACTGATGGAAAGACTTATGGCAATGAATGCATGCTCTGTCAGGAAAATAAGTAAGTACCACCATGATTTTCTTTAGAGATAACATTTAAAAGCTCAATGTTCTCACTTCCTAGAACTGGGACCTTAAGAGGACCTTGGAGGTCATCTAGTCATCTAGTAGAGTTCTTAACTGGGGTCACCAGGGTGGCCCCCTGCAAACTAGACAGTAGAATAATCATGGAGTCCATGAACTTAGATGGGAAAAAATAACTTCATTATTTTCACTAACCTTAAACTGAAATTTCTCATTTCCTTCAGTTATGAAAATAGGCAACAAACTGAAAAAGGGTCCATTAGCTTTGCCATACTGCCAAACAGGTCCATCTCTCTCTCTGTCTCTGTCTCGCTGTCTCTCTATCTCTCTCTCTCTCACACACACACACACACACACACACAAACACACACAAACACACATTTTAAAAAACAAGACAAAACAAAACATTGATCTAATCTAAAACCTTCATTTGACAGAGACCATGAGGGAGGGGTTGCTGACTTGCCCAAGGTCTCTGTAATAAGTTACAGAAATATGATTCAACCCTAGGTCTGCTAGCACCTAATCCATTGCTCTTTCTACAATACAATGATGCCTCTAATTACTTAATCTGTCTAGATGTGAACAAGTTCCACATAATTAGCAAGGCCAAATGAATGGTGAGAGAGGAGTGCAGATGATGTAAACTGGGTCACCACTACAATTACATCAAGGAAGAGTACAAGTGGACAGTGAGGAGTCTCTCATAAAGAGTTCCCTTGAGTTCATTTTACAACATGGAGGGGCAAGGGGAACAATCCTGGTCTTAAAGCCAGGAAACTTGGGACCTAGTCCTAACTCTGCCACTAACTTGCTTCATGATCTTGGGCAGGTCACTTCCCCTCTGTAAGCCTAGGTTTCCTCTTCTGTCAAATGGACAATTTGGACCAGATGGTCTTTAAGTGCTCTTCCCTGAACGCCTATCTAGAGCTAGAGGTTTGTGTTCTATAATCTTCTCATCAGTAGCTCAATGCCTGTTACCCAAAGGGGATGCTTATGCACAGCTCAAGGATCTAAGGGTTAGGGCAAGGCCTCCAAGTCAAAGCCCATGGATCTAAACCCTGATTCCCCTCTACCACCATATTCTCTGGCCAACATTTGGTATATTCCTTTTCTTCAAGGGCTCTCAACATTCTAGCTGGAGATGCCAGACACATACACTTGAAATAATAAAATAATCAGGAGGGCTAAATAACATGGTGTACACTCATAGATTTGTTATTAGTTAATCTCCTTCTTGTACCCTTAATCTCAGCCAAGCTGACTTACTTGCTATTCCCTACATGTGAAATTCCACCTCCTCCCTTTGTGCCTTTGCATAGGAAGTACCCTATGCCTGGAATGCCATCCCTCCACAGCTCTGCCTCTTGGACTCCCTGGCTCCAACAAGGCTCTTTTTCAATTAGCACATACTACATGAAGTAGGTAATTTTTCCCAATCCTCCCAATTGTTGAGTCATTCTCCCCATTCCTACAACCAATTACTTTGTGCTTACTGAGTAAACATTTTGAATTTCACTCAAAAAGATTAAGCTCCTTGAGGGCAAGGATTCTTTTATGTCTGGTGTGTTTTTTTTATTCCTAGTTCCTAGCACACTGCTGGGGCTTAATAAATTCTTGCTGAATTGACTTAAATGGAATCTGAAAGACTCCTCAAAATATAGAATACCACATCTGGAGGGGACCTCATAGACTGTGCAGGACAGCTACTATATTTTAAAGAAAAGGAAACTGAATTCCAGTGAAGATAATTTACTTGTTCAAGCTCTCACAGATCATTAGCAAAAGAGCTATAATGCACATCTGATCCACATTTTGTAGTTCACTACTCTTTCCTAACAGCTACCAAATCTGGCTTCAGACTCTTCCTAGCTGTGTGTCTGGGCAAGTCACTTAGCCCTGTTTGCCTCAGTGTTAACATCTGTAAAATGAGCTGGAGAAGGAAATGGCAAACTGCTCCAGTTGCTATTCTGTATCTTTGCCAAGAAAACCCCCAATGGGGTCATGAAGAGTAGGACATGACTGAAAGCACTGAAGGACATTAACAACAACAAAGGAGGTCAAAGGAGGAAGACTTCAGTGAGTTGTGGAGGAGCAAGGGAGGTGGAGAAGGGGACACTTGAAGGAGGAATATGATTTGGACCAACTTAAGGAAAGGGGAGGACCTTCCCTAACCAGGGAATAACTTGATGAAAGGGCCAAGGGAGGGTTGTGCCTGCTGAGACTATGGAATCTGAGGGCTAAGGTTGAGATTGAGGATTAAGACCTAAATTTCTTCCCTGCATAGGACACATTTCCAAACTATCCTGCAGTTTTACCCTAGCTTTGTCCTCCATCAGAGGCCTCCTCCTTACTGGGGACTGGGATAGTAGGGAACTACCCAAGCCTGATACACCAGGTTGGTCCCACACTTGGGTCTCTCAGTGTGAGGGATTATGAAGAACTCCCATTTCCTGGGCCTGGTTTGGTATCTTGAGACATTCCAAGTGACTGACGGTTTCAATGCATTTACAAATCTTGCTAAAGTGAACTTGGAATCATTTGGTAGTTTTCCCATGGTTTGGCTAAGTTTTTGACATGAACTTACATCTTTATCAGCCTTAGGGGGAACAAACAAAAACAAGGTGTCCTTGATTTTTAGAAATCCACCCAGGTTCCAAGGTAAAATCATCAACTCATAGAACACAGAAAGTCAGAGCTGGAAATGACCTTAGAACACAAAGCGTAAAATGTACCTCTATCTTAAACATATGTTTTCCTATTAACTAGAACCTTTTGGGAAGTTCTGTGTAAAGGTCTGAATCAAGGATTCTTAATTTTGTTTGTGTCATGAATCCTTTCAGCAGTGTGGTGGAACCCTTCTGAGAATCATGTTTTTAAAAGCATAAAACAAGACATAGCCTTACAAAGGAAGTGGAAATAGTCAACAAAATATTAAGGAAAAAAATTTCCCAGACTCCAAGTCCAGAACTCTTAGCTAGACTTTTCCTGACTAGACTGACAGTCCAAATTCAGGGTGATGAAAATGTTATGATATGTTACGCATCAAAAGTAAGTAATCTATAGTCCCTAAGCAAATTTAGTTTTATATTCTCTAAGTAAATTTTAAATGTAACATTTTTCTTTAAAAAAAAAAAGAGTAGATAATATATAGGGCAGAAGCAATAATTAAGGTGATTAAACTGAAGGAGACCAGGGTCCTAGCATAGCAGTGGATTTAATTCATGTAGGAACTAGGAGTCCTGGGGAAAGAGAGGACTGGAAGAATGGTGGGACTCTGAGTCACTTAGAAGTATTTATAGTTAACATTTATATAGAACCCATAATGTGCCAGGTAATGTACCAAGCACTTTACAATTATCACCTCATTTGATCCTCACAACAACCTTGGGAGGAAGGTGCTATTATTAGTCATTTTGAAGATGAGGAAACTGAGGCAAACAGAGATTAAGTGACTTGCATAGGATCACATAGCTAGTCAGTGTCTGAGATTGGATTTGAACTCGATTCTTCCAGACTCCAGGCTCCCCACCTCTATCCACTGTGCTTCCTAGCTGCACTTGATCTTATCCAGAGGAAAAAAATCCACCAATAATATGACATTTGCAATCTCTGGATTTAATCCAGAGACCAGAAAATGACACGGATTGGGTAGAAAAGCATATGGAAAGGGATATTAATCACTGTATTTCAATATGGAAATGATTGTTAAGGAAGGAAGAATGTACTTTGTTCTTCTTAGCCCCAAAAGGCAGAAAAAAGAAGCAATGAGCAGAAATTTCCAAGAGGTTGATTCAAAAGAAGGTTCTGAGAAATAAAATCTGGACATTCATGAAATAGCTAATCTTCTGATATTCTTTGTTCTAAGAAACCTTTCAACTTTTAAATTCTGTGTTTTAAGATTCCTTCCTACTCTAATGTTGTTTCTCACCATTGTTCTAATAATGACTTTCTAGACAGAATTTATTTTCCCTGCTTCAAGGACTAGATTTTTGTAATAGAGCAGTCTCATACTGCTCTATCTTTTCATTTCTTCTACAGGTTAAGAGATGTTCCTGTCCGAATCCAAAAAGAAGGGGAGTGCTGAGGAACTAAAATATCCTGGGCCCCAGTGGGACAGCATCATAGCTGACCAGCCTGATTCTTTAATAAATGTATAAGATTGATTTTTGCTGTTTATGTGATTTCTCATAAAAAAAAATGTTGGAGAAAAAAAGTATGGCATTGTGTATAGATGAATGGCCTCTGCCTCACTTCAAATCCTGCCCCTGACTCCCTATTGCCTTGTGGGTTCAAGCCCCCCTGTTGCCTGTGTGGGTTCAAACCCTGCTCCTGACCCCTACTACCTGTATGACATATCACCTCTCAGACCCTCAGGCAATGCTCCAATATTATGAAAAACAGAGAATGTGCTTACTTGGCATTGGTAAAAAGAGTTACTTACCAGAGGTTCCATATAATGATAAATCATACATCTTCTTTTAAGAAGGAAAAAAAAAGAATGGACAAGATCTGGAGAAGGGGTTGGGAACAGGGACTAAGATCACTACAAGTGCTTACATTTTTATAGGGCTTTATAATAATAGAGATAATTATCATACTTTATGTCATTCAGTGCTCACTAATTACCTCTATGTAGCACAAATATTCCCATCTTCATTTTATAGGTAAGAATTCTGAAGGTCAGAAAGGAGAAGTGATTTACCTGCAGGATGGGGAGATCACAGAATCCTAGTAGTTTAGAGTTGGAAGGAACCTTATAGACCATTTATTCAAATCCTATCATTTTATGTTAACTGGTCGTTTTACAAATGGAAGATCAGAGAGGTTCAGCAATTTGCCCAAGATCACAAGGCTAGTTCACAGAGATGAGATTCAAACTCTGATTGTCTGAATCCAAATCCATTGATGTCTTCATTATATCATCCTGTCAATAAGGACACTATGATTAAAGGAAATGGGTGATTTTTCCTCCCCAACTTCCTTGAAAGTTTCATTGCATGTTACAAAGAAATAATCATTAGAGGGAATCCAGGAACAGAAGGGAGAAAACATGATGGAGAGCCTTCTGGTGGGGATCAGTTAAGGGGGAAAAAACAGATAAGATATTGTCATGGATGAATAAAAGAGGAAACAGGGCTGGAAGATGATAGATAAAAAGTTCAGGAAACAAAACCCAAATATGGCTTGGAGGTACACTACAATGCCAAAGGAGGACTTCCTTGGATTCTCTGAGAGCTCCCAGGAACTCCTTTTCAAGCCTACACCAAAACAGCTGACATATTCTTGACTTGCCTTTAATGATCATTTCATTCTCTCAAACCCTCATTTCGAGGTTCAAGACAGAGAGTAATACAGCTCATGCTAATGGGAACTTGCTTCACTGAAGTTAATTAAGAACAAAAAGCAAGATTGTAGTGAAGGGCACGTGACAGTCTCTTCTGAAGCCTCCCAGGTCCAGGCCTATCTCCTCATTGTGCCATGTAGTAGCAATAGACATAGAGTTCAACCAGGAGCTGGCCAGCTTGGTCAGGACTGATAGCTAACTCACCACAAGTGCCTGCTGCCCTCTGCCAAAGCACATTTGCCACCAAATAAAATATTCAGAGGAGTTTTACAAATCTGCTGATATGCAGTGACTCTATCACTGTGGTTCTTAACAATGAGGATCAGAAATCAGCAGCAAAAGAACACATAGAAGTAGACCTAATTTCTTCAGGGCTTACTGCTAATGCCTTATCCAGAAAGGGTCTCTAATGATTCTAGTAACCTGTTCCCCTCATCTTCCCCTGAGGATAAGGACCAAATGTGACCAGACTGGCTCAGGGAAGAAGAGATGAAAGGAATACCCATTCTAGACCTGCTGCTGAAACATGGGGACACTGGTGAAGGAGAAAAGACTGGGACTTGGGAATAAGTTATAACTCCATCATAGTGACTGAGGAGAGACAATATGGATATAATCTGGCACACAGCCTAGTTTTGGAGAAGGCAGATGTCAGAGGATTCAGAGTTCAAATCTGGCCTCAAACACTTAGTACCTATGTGACCCTGGGTGAGTCATTTAACCTTGCTTGCCTCACTTTTCTCATCTGCAAAATGTGTGGTGAGTTTGACTCCACTACTATAAACCATTTTTTTAAATCTAAAAAATTAGTAGCAAGCCATTACTGTACTTACTTCAAGGGCCCTGAAGTAACCAGGGAGGCATATTAATATGACCTTCAGATGCACGGTTTACAATCAACCATAACTTGAGTTTCTAGGATTTGAGAGTTTGAAGGGACTTGAGGAATCATTGAATCAATCTCCACATTTTAGAAATGGGAAAACTGGGACTTAGAGAGTCAGTGTCCAAGGTCACACACCAAGCCCAGACAAGCACTGGATGGTCATACTCCATGTTTTCAATAGTTTCTAGGTATGCAGAACTCTGGTTGTAATCAGAGAGATCTGGGTTCAATTTCTATCTCTGGCAATTATTAGCTTTATGGTCAAGGGCAAGTCACTGAGAGACCATTAACACTACTGTACTACTTTACTGCCCTGTATTCCTGGCCTTTGCTCATCAATAATACTCTTGGAGACTGTAAGCTTTATTTTACATATACCATCCACCACTACCCTTATGGCTCATAATTCCCCCACACATACTTGGTTTTCTCCTTGTCCTTGTATTAATCAATCACTGTCCACAAAGGAGAAAATCATCCTCAATTCTCACCTCCTGTTCTCTCATATCCATTTTCCTTTACCCTATTTCACCTATATCCCATTTCAATCCTTGAACACCTTGCACTCTGCCCTCTGCAATTCCCATTCCACAGTGAACAAATATTCATTTGTCCTAGACCTCTTTTTCTGACACCCTTTCCATCTACTAGGCCTCAGTGAGAACTATCTCCCTACTCTCCCACACCTGATAACATTACATCCTAAGCCCTTATCTCCATTAGTGCCCATATCTTTACCTACGCACACCAATCCTAAGAGAGGTGTCAGAATACTTCTTGCTCCCTACGCAACTTCTAGGCTCTCCTTCTACCACCATCATTCCTCAACCTCTTCTCTGTTGAAGTTAACAATATTAAAATTTTGTATACAATCCAGATCATGGTAGCATTATATACCAATGCTCAGGTCATTCTTCTTACTTGCATAAGGAGTTCAGCATCTGGTTCACCATCTCAGTGTTGTTCTCATCTCTTGCTAAGGATCTGCAATATCCATATTGATGATCCCTCAAACTCTCTACCTTCCCAGTTCTTTACTGTCCTTAAATTCCACGACCTACTCCTTCACTGCACCAGAGCCCCAAATAAGAATGGTAATACATCAGATCTCCCCATTTTCCACAAGCGTTCTACTTCCCTGATTGAAAGCTCTAATATTTGAAAGCTCCATTTGACCATAATCTCCTATCATTTCATCTATTCCTAGATCTCATCCCTCCCAAACCCATTATTCAATGTCATTGAGACCTCTAGTGCCTCTATTTCACAATACTTTTTCAGGTTCTCACTTCACTTTCCTCCCCCACCAATCTTGACCTGAAAGTTAGACAATTCAACTCTACATTGACCCCTACTCTCAAATCCTTTGCCTCTTCTGCTCCCACTGTTCCTACCTTGCCAAAAATTATTTGCACCATGTACCTCCTCCATCTATACTGCTATGCTGAGTGGGTACACGTTAAATTCAAGTTATATAATATCATTGTGGCAAAGTAATATTTTTATTCTTGCCTAATTGATTCCCTATCTCAATCCCCACAAAAGCTTTTCTGAACCTCTTCTCTCCTTCCCCATCTTTCTTAGCTGACAATCTCACATCTTACTTTACTGAGAAAACTGAGGTCATTTGACATGTCTTTTCCTCATTCTCATTTCTTCATCTAAAAATTCCTTGACATTATTCCCACTCTCCCCTTTCCCCTAGTCTCAGACAATGAGATGGTGATTCTTCTTGCTAAGCCCAAACTTCTACTTGTCAGCTTCATCTCATCCCCTCCCATATCCTCTGACAAGTTGCCATATGCCATACACACACACACACACACACACACACACACACTACAAAATATGTATACAAATATATGTATATATACACATGGGTGTATTTTATATATGTGTGCACTTGTGTGTTATGTGTCTCTATATACATATTTATTATATGCATGTATGTAGACTTTGGGAAATAGTGGAGAATAGAAGGTCTATAAAGTCACAAAGAGTTGGACATGACTGAATGACTCAATAAGAAAAAAATATATATGTAAAGATATATATTTAGATAAATAGATCTATATATGGATATGTAGATATATCCTTTTTGTCTTCTCCCATTAAAAAGCAAGTTTTTTGTAAGTCCAAAAATTTTTTTCATTCACTAGCATCTAGCACAGTGCCTGGTACTCAGTACGTATTTAATAAACACTTGTTAATTGGACTTGACTTCATATTCTTCTCCAGGCTACATTCCTGACTCTCTTCTCAGATTTTCTCTATAGTGCTCCAAAAACCTTTCCAACCTGAAAACTCAGTACAGCCCTTGACTTTGTACATTGGAAACTTTATCTACTTCTGAAGCTCCTCCCTCTGATTAACTGGCTCCTTCTAGAATTTCCATCTTAAGGATGATACCTAGGCCACCCATATTTTTTTTTCCTCTCCTGGACATACTCCTGACTTCTCCTGGACTTTCATTACAATATTCCCCCCATGTCCTGTGCCAAGTACAGTCTCCACATGCCCTTTGTTCCAAGCTTACTTTTACATATTTTATATTTTAATATATTGTATTATATTATCTATTATATTAATATACCATATTTTATATTCTCATATTAAAATGTAACCTCCTTGAGGTCAAGAATTGTTTTTCTTTCTCGTTGTTTTTGGATTCTCACCACTTAGCACAGTACCATATTAAACTCTTAATAAATGCTTATTGACTTTTCTCATTCAGCCCACCAAGATGCCAAAAATAAAGAAGGTCAAGGGGAAGAAGGTGGTTCTGTAGCTGTAGCAAAGAAGCAGGAGACCAAGAAAGCGGTCAATCCTTTAATTGAGAAGTGGCAGATGAACTTTGGCATTGGTCAGGACTTCCAGCCCAAAAGAAACCTTACTCGATTTGTCAAAAGGCCTTGATACATCAGACTGCAGCA